GGGCCACCGGGATTCCCTCGTGGGGAAAAACCTATCTCTCGGTATATATACGACTCTTGTTACGTGTTAGATTCCTATAGGATGATTTGACGTGTAGAAATTTTACTCGGCCGACATGATTTGTCGACTATTGCTTTACTCAAGTCCATATGATAAAAAAAGGGACTTAATGTGGCTTCTTACTTTGAAGTAAATTTGAATATTAGGTTTTGAATGGTTGTTTTTGTTTCTGAATGTCGAAATTATTGTCGAAACCGTATACTCATGTTCGTAATGCTTTCGACAAAAAAAGTGCTCTAGGCTATGTAAATCTAGCTAATAGCAAATAAGCTAGCTTATAACTTTTAAGTGAATTTTGAACTTATTGCTGATAGCTTATGACTTATGGCTGAAAAACTAGTTTATATGATAAAGTTGTTTGGTAAATATAGAAATTAGCTGATAATTTTGTTGAAATAAAAATTCCAACGAGCTTATTTGAAAATCTACCTGAAGGAGCTTATGAGATAAGCTCGAGCTTTTTAAAGAAGCTCGTCCTACCTGACGAAACTTATTTGAATACAGGAAGCTTGTAAGCTAACCAAATAAGCTATAAGGTAGCTTATTTGGCTACCAAACATAGCCTTACTCATGTTAATATTGCTTTCTGAATGCAGCTTCTTACTTATAATGTCGAAATTTTCCTTGGCTGGCATGGTTGTTTTTTGTTTCTGAATGTTAGGTTCTTGGAGTGTATGATTGGGATGGGTGCAACCCACTTCCCCCAGAGTTTTGGTTGTTCCCTTCGTTTTTCCCGTATCATCCAGGTGATGATTTGAATTTTATTTAACTTAAAAGGAGTTAGGAATTTAGTCGTTTGATTTGTTGTTCTGTAATCACAGCGCCATTTTCGTTTTAACATTATTTCAAAACATAAAATGCAGCAAAAATGTGGTGCTACTGTCGCACGACTTACATGCCTATGTCATACCTCTACGGTCGAAAGTACCACGGACCAATCACGGACCTTGTTTTATCCCTCAGGGACGAAATTCACGTCAAGCCCTATGATCTGATAGATTGGAACAAGGCACGTCACGATTGTTGTAAGGTTGGTAGTCCTTGTACGTGAGTTTGATGCTTGTGATTTTACGACAATACAAAATAAGATAGTGATATAAAACCTGCCTTGAGGTTTTGAAGTAATTACAGTAAAAAAAAAATAAAAATGAAGTGAGTGTGTCTGTGAGAAATTCGGCTATTATTTTAAGAGTTTTTTCATGTCAGATGTTGAGATCGATGAAAGATTGTTTATGAAAATAACTAATATTTCATATGTACCTATCCGAGGGCAGGATGATCTTTACTACCCGCATACATTCGTACAAGATTTGCTATGGGACAGCCTTAATTATTTCACTGAACCGGTAATGAGACGTTGGCCGTTGAACAAGATAAGGCAAAAGGCTATGGATAAGGCGATCAAGTACATGCGCTATGGGGCTGAAGAGAGCAGGTATATTACCATTGGGTGTGTCGAAAAGGTACGCGTTTTTTCAAGCTCTGCAGAAGTTATTGATCCTGATACTTAAGTATTGAATGAAGGTACTGATGATGTAGCATTTTTGTTATAACAGAGTCTGCAGATGATGTGCTGGTGGGCACACAATCCAAACGGGACGGAGTTTAAACATCACTTAGCCAGGGTGCCCGATTATCTCTGGCTCGCAGAGGATGGAATGAAAATGCAGGTATTACTATTATTTGCTAAAATTATCAGTCTCATTTAGCCTAATGACATATTTTGGGTGTATCTTTTGATTTTACAAAACACCCTGAACATTTGTTTCATAATATTTTTAAAGAGTGCAATTTTAATAGCTGACCGGAGTTTTTATTAAATGTGGCTAAATCTTGAAGTAACTTATAATCTGTGGAAAAATGATTTTTTTTTTATTTTATTTTATTTTTTTTTTTTATTTTTTATGTAGAGTTTTGGAAGTCAACTATGGGACAGTACTCTTGCAACTCAAGCAGTTATTTCGACCGGAATGGTTGAGGAATACGGGGACTGTCTTAAAAAGGCGCACTTCTATATTAAAGAATCTCAGGTTCTATAAGCTGAAAACAAATTTTATTTTGAGCTATAAAGTCCATCTGTATCACTAGAAATTTGGATCACAATACGCATAATAACACGGTGCAGATAAAGGAAAATCCTATCGGTGACTACAAAGGCATGTATCGTCATTTCACTAAAGGCGCGTGGACATTCTCTGATCAAGATCAGGGTTGGGTCGTGTCCGATTGCACAGCTGAAGCACTTAAGGTAAAATTGTATCGTTGTTAATTCGGGAAATGAATTTATTAAAGACAAGGACTACTACAAAGAAAAAAAAAAGGAATTTGATTGTAAAACGTGGTAAATATCATTGTTTCAGTGCCTGCTATTGCTGTCACAAATGCCAGCTGAAATCACGGGAGAAAAGCCCGATGTTGAGCGCTTGTACGAGGCTGTCAATGTGCTGCTTTATTTGCAGGTACGAATCTTTCACCATGGTGTGTTAACAATCCCTATAACTCACAATACTTTGTTGTAAAATAATGTGCACTATATTATGTTATAGAGTCCTCTCAGTGGTGGATTTGCCATCTGGGAACCCCCGATACCACAACCGTATTTGCAGGTAAAAAAAGTTTAATTCATAATTTCGACTAAAGTCGAACCAAACATAACAGAACAAAAATTCCAACTATTCTTTGTTTTATTTTTTTATTTTTTTTTCAGGTTTTGAACCCCTCAGAACTTTTTGCTGACATAGTTGTCGAGCAAGAGTAAGACCTTCATTTCACTCTCTCTCTCTCTCTCTCTCTCTCTCTCTCCTTTTTTTTTTT